TGCTCCAAACATTTTGTTTCAGAAACATGTGTGCTCCTTAACTAATATCTGGTGCAATTCAGGCACCAGGGCTGGCTGGAATTTACGCCCTATCATCTGACAAGAGCAAACTTTGGGAATTTTGATTAGTGTCAATTTAATTAAATCTGTGTAAAATAAAATGATAAAAAAGCTCTGTTTGGGGACATCACTGAGATTATGGAATAAAACCTCCATTTGAATTGAGTTGATTTAGTTTTTTTACTTCTTTAAATAATGCAGTCATTCCTTCAGGTCAGTTTTTGCAAGAATGAGTGTGAAAGCCAGTGAGACATCCAAGTAGGTTCTCAGTGGCACAAAGAGAAAAATACTTGAAAACATATTGAATGAGCTTAAGACGTTCAGAATGATTGGTCTCATCTACTAGTACAGAAATAAAACCACTACTCACCATTTAAAATGATGGCAAACATCACCTTGACAATTCACTTGTGGCATTTCAGGCCTGGCAAACAGAGTTTGGGGTATCTAAAAGTACATCAAAAGAGCAGAGATGATTTCAGGACATTGTCATTTGCTCACATTTGTTCCTGGATATACGGTCTATGTCTAGAAAGGAAGGATCAGGAAACACAACACCTTTCCCAGCTGATTTCAGCTTGATCCCTGTTCCCTAAAGTTTAAACCTGTCAATGGATTATTTTATTTTTATTTTTCTTTCTCACTGACCTTTTCAGTGAATGCTTCAGTGCTATCCTTCACACAGCTTTTCACAAGGACTGGCCACAGCTCTTATCATGAGGTGCGCCGATGAAATATTCCTAGAGGGACAGGAGGAAAGGAAGAGCATCAGGCTGTTGGAGACTGAGCAGAGCACTAACCCTTCAGATGCATTTACCCAGCAGCATTATTGAACTAGCAATGAACAGCCATTAATAATAAGCTGAACCTTAACAAAATAACTCATTTACCCATTAATTACATTGCTTACCTAACAGGGCAATGGCTGCATTCTCCCTCCTCCTCTGGAGCTTGCCATTAGTCGTACTAGTCCGTCTCGGAAGAGTTGGCATTTTTTCCCCAAAGCTATTATTTAATGGGAGGAAAATCCTCTGTGTCAGAGGAGGATTAGTGGGGATGGAAAAAATGGGCCTGTCCTTTAAACCTCCAAAGCACAACACAGATTGCTGATAAACCAATCTGCTTCATTCTTCCCCATCCCCCACCCAAAATCACTTCAGAGTTGGACCCCTGCCAGACAACTAGCACTGCTAGGACTCTAGGCGAAGCTATCTCATCTCTCCAGTGCCTATTACATAAAAGAGAGGAAGGAGGGTCGATGTAATCATATTTGGGGGCAAGCATAGGCTTACGTTTCAGCTATTTGAAATGGTGATTGATCAGCTCTCCAGACCCACATCAGAAAAAGCTACCACCAACTTGAGTGTTGTGCTGCAGTCTAAATCACATGCCTGAACCTGAGCTCTCATTGCATGGGCAAAGGTGAAACTCCTTGGACTTGGAAGGTGCTACTACACTATGTTAGGATGAACACAATCACAAATGCAATCACCTGTCAGGACTAGGATGAGGCAGGGTAGCTGGCTTTGCAGGTAAGGAAAATACCGTGAACAAACTATACCTGGACTTCTGAAAGGCTTTTGACACAGTCCCAGATGCCATTCTTATAACTAAGCCTGAGAAACATGGGCTAGATACAGGATTACTGTTAGATCGATATAGTATTGGTAGAATTACAACACGCAACAGATTAATGGATCAATGTTAGACTGACTAGAGGTCTCAAGTGGTATGGCACGGGGGGTGGGGTCTGTTCTGAGTCCAGTGTTGTTAACATATTTATTAATATCTTGTTTCCATATTTCTTCATGCCTTGGATGCATAAATCAAGAGTATATAAACCAGGCTTGCAAATGACACAAAACTGAGAGGGGTTCAACATTTTGCAGAGCAGGATTAGCACCTAAACGGATCTTGCTAACATTGGAGGACCGGGCTATAGATAACAAAATTAAATTCAGCAAAAGTAAATGTACCATGCTATGCAAGGCAAAAAGGCATGTGTACACACAGATGAGGAGATAAGTGGTTTGGCTGCGGAGATACGTGGCCTCTCATCACTGGGAGGGTCTGGGGGTTATAGCAGATCACAAGTGCAACATGAATCAGCACTGCAGTACTGTCACAAAAAAAGCAAATGCATTTTGCTTTTATTCAGAGAAGCATGTCTGCAAGACACTGGAGGAAGATAAGGCCACTGTGCTCAGCATGGCTGGCCTCAGCTGGAGTAGGCTAGCCAGAATTGGGCACTGCATTTTAAGAAGGATGTGGAGGAATAACAAAAGCTCACTTAGACAAGTTTCAAAGATGATGAAGAAATTGAAGCACAGGCCATATGAAGAAGGTTGCAGGAGCCAGGTATATTTAGTCTGGAGAAAAGGAGTTCAAGGAGGAAAGTGATACCAGCTTCCAAAATATCTAAGAAGCTGCCATAAAGAAAAGGGAGAACAACTGTTCTCCTTTCCCAGCGAGTGTCAGTCACTTGACTGTGTGATTAAACTCCAGTAAAGCAGATTTAGATTAAATTTCAGGAAAAAAAACTTTCTATGGTGAGAACAACAAGGGGAGCCATGACATCTTCACAAGGGGGTTTCAAGGGCCGGACAGGCATTTGTCTGGAATGATTTCGGCATAGCACATGTAGCAGGGTTTGGACTGGGTGCTGCCTAAGGGCCTTTGCAGTCATTACAGTTCTGCCATCATGAAACTTTTGTACTGAAAACAAAGGCTCCAATAAAACCAGCAGGGGAAGGTAGACACAGGGAGATGCCTAGTATCTGTTACTCCTGGGAAAATACTGTCTGTCCTGTCTAAGACCGTGTTCTGCTTGCTGTGCTGAATGTCAGCATGTGGAAATGGTAAGAACAGGCTCTGCCTGTGGCAATATTCTGCCAGGCAGGACATAAGACATTATTTAAAGTCTCTTCTGACAGACTAACAATGGTTTCTCTCAAATGTGTCTGAGTGAGTGAGTGATCCCAGCCTCTCTCATTTCATTCCAGCATGTTAACAGTGTCTGGAAAAATAGCCTTATTTCTTCCTTTCAAATGAATTCAATACATGGGATACAGCTGGTTCCAGTTAATCTGTGCTTGGTTCCTCTGTACATCAAGGCACCTGAAAGATTTCAATGGCAACCAGTCCCATAATGTGCATTGCGCCATGCAGTACACGCACCTGCTGTGTTATTTTTGTTTCATTTTGACAGCCCCCTCAGCCTTTGAGGAGCCTCCGTTAGCTTTGAATTAGCTCCTCATGTTGGGAAATCACTCTGTCAAAGAATTAATCTAAAATTGCTGGGAGGCCTTAATTCACACAAGCATAGAGCTGGCAAACTGATGTTAGCCTAACTAGGTCTGAAGTAGGGGGACCAAGAATGAGCTCTATGGTGTGACAGTTAAAGGAGAAAATTAACTCCATCTTGGAATGAATTTGCTGCACCGGAGACAACTCCCTCGGCTACAGGCAGATCCCTATGTAGAAGCCTGGCCAGCGGGCAAAGACCTTGGGGGCTGAAAAAAACACAGGGTCAGACTTTTTCCAGGCATTCAGCATGTACAACCGTTGTACAATGTGAGGCAGGGCCTCCAGGCAGCATTGCCAACTCTCTTGATACTTCATGCTTTGCTTACAGTCCCAGTTCCTGGAGTCATGAGAATCTCAGGTCTCATGTTTTTAGAAGTATTAGCTGTCAACCCTCACGATTGTGGAGAACAGCTTCAAAAAGTTATCTCCTCACAGAGTCAAAAACCAGAAGGCCAGTGAGGAAAAAAAATCCAGGTGTTGGCAGTTTTTAAAAACAGTTTTTAAACTAATCTTGTGATATTTTGTGGGCCTGACTCATGATTTTTGGACCACCTAGAGCTGACCATGCTGTACAGCAGTGGTTCCCAACTTTTTTTTCCCATGCCCCGCTGCTGGGAGCCGAGTGCAGCAGTGGTGGTGGCCCAGGGGCAAGGGAGCTCCCAGCACACAGCATGGCTCATCTTTTCTGCGCAGTGCCACCGGCATTGCCCCTGTGACCCTCATTTGGGTTGCGACCCAGGGTTGGGAACCACTGCTATACAGGGTGTAACACTTGAACCACTGGTCATGTTTGGCTGTCATCCATATGTTTGATGTCCATATTGATTTTATGTCCTGTGATAGTTTGGGACCCCTGGATGGGGG